CTGGCTGTTGCCGAGAGAGAGGTGCGTTTGGGTGAATCCTTGTCTCCTTCTAGTACTACCTGATTGGATAGTCGCATATAAATGACGAGAAGAAGGGCGTCACTTATATGCGATTATCCAATCAGGTAGTACTAGAAGGAGACAAGGATTCACCCAACGCACCTCTCTCTCGGCAACAGCCAGAACTATAGATCACTCATTCCAGTATGTATAGAGTTCACTGTTCGAGATACATCGCGCGAGCGAAATCAAAGTGATTTTCAAACGCGCCGTTGACTCGCATATTCGCGCCACCGCGGCCGCTGGCACGCGGGATCAGGAGATGCTCCGCGAGTCGCACTGTCGTTCGAATCGCCAATGCGAGTGTCACGGGACGATGTGCGCGATCGTTCCCCGCGTAATTAAACGGCGCCGCAGCCGTGTGATCGAGCTCTTCGATTCGGAAAAGCAGACCTGTTAAATCGTGCTCGCTTCCCTTTAAATAAATAAATAAGTAAATTGAGCAAATCGCGAGGAGAGCCGCGAAGGTGTCGATCGCGCCGTCAACGTGCGTATTCTCCGAGCGCGCGCGTTTATTCGAGATACATCGCGTCGTCGACTCGCGTAGTTACCGCCGTAGCAGCGCCTGCGCGGTAGCCGCCGGGTGCGGCGCCATGTTGATCCATTCGTAGGAGGCCCCGTGGACAGGCAAGCGGATCGGTCTCGCGCGACGGCCGTCGCGTTTCACGGTACGCACAATCGCAGCGAGTTTGCCATTGCTCGATGTAACAATCACGCGACGTAGACTCGACCCTTCGCGCGTCGGTAATCCACCGAGACGCGTAGATCTGGGAAATCCCGGTCGAAATGTCACGCGCGGTCGGCGTCGCTACGGCGCGGTGGTATCCTCGCGCGCCACCAGTGCCACCGAGCTCGCCAATTTTTACAATATCCGAGTTTTCCGCGCGTAATGCGTGGCGAGAGAAACGTTCGCGCGAAACTGCCCGGTCGAACGCACGCACTCGGCTCATCCCCTTTCTCGGCGACGCGCGTCTCACAAGTTAGCCTCGCGCATGTCCGTGAATCCTTCCCGCCAGAACGTCATTTCGCGCGACGCCATCTCGCCAGACGCGTATTTCCGCGCATGGCTGTCTCTCGTTCTCGTTGCAGCCAAGTCCGCGCCGATTAACGCCGGGAGTGTCGGTAATCAGCGCGTGCGATCGTAATTAGCTCCTCTCTCTCTCGCGAGTGTCGCGTTGCGCCAGTGCGAACTGGAGGAGTCTGAGAGGAGGCAGCGGCTTAGGAGGCACGCGGGGCAACTCAGCGGTGAGTGCGATTGTTGTGCACTGATCTCGCGTTAACGTCATTTCGCGGATCGTTTTATTCCGTCTTACCTACTTTATCCGATACAGAATCCGTGGTGAGCTGAAAGCGCAAGACTAATTCATCAACTTGTCTCCCATAACGACTGCATTTAAATGACGCTACTAACTTTTTCTCCACTCTCTAAAATTTGTGGAGTGCCCAGTGAGAAACGATTCGTCGATCGAAACGACGTCGAATCGACATCGACACCATCGAATTGGCGTCGATTCGACATCATTTCGACGTCAATCGACGAATCATTTCTCACTGGGTGAAAATACCGCCATGGAGTGAAATGTTCACCCTATTGGCGTGAATATTTCCTCCAACAGAGTGAATATTAGCTCCAATGGAGTAAACATTTCACTCCATGGCAGTATTTTCACTCCACAAATTTTAGAGAGCAGTTTTTCCAATTTTGCTTACGATTATCATATCGCGTAGTCAGTCGAATCAGCAGTGTACCTTCGTAATATAAACGCTGTTACGTTTTTACTTCATCAATACGCAAGCCACATTTCTTGCTCTGATAACCGATGTAGATTTACATTGCGAGGATTACATACTAAGTATAGATATATAAAATTCTTATTTATTGAGGGACAGGTTCGGATACAGAAAGCGTAATGTAATATTGTATTATACAACATATATAATATAATAATACCAAGTGCGACGTACGTAAATAATAATAATAATATAATAATAATAAAATCAATAAAATAATAATAATAACAAATATTAAGCAAATTTTATAATGAGCGATGACAATAGGGTTTAGAATTGAGAAGATATTTTTTAGCACATCGCAATCGTGTAAGAATCAATTTCTTCTTTTCCATTCAGTTTTCATCGTAAAGTTTGGAATACAGTTCAGTGCAGCTTGACAGGTCAAAGAAGCGCGTGCATTTTTCGTTGTGCCTCTTTTTTATAGTTTAAATTGTATTTGCGTTCTCGATTTACGAGCAGAGAAGAAAATACGATCGTGTGCATCCATTCGTATGTTCAGCGTGCCTGGCAAGAATAGAAAGATTTTCGAACGGGTGAAGGGATTTCCGCGTGCGGGAGCCGGTTTCTTGAAACGAGTCTCCGATCATCGCGATTGATTCCAATTAACATTAAATATATAATTACGCGGGAATAACATAATAAAAATGTACAATTTATCATAATTATCATCGCGTTCCGAAGGCGGTTCTAGCTTTACTACTCACGAGGGGAACGTGAAAAGATATTACGTCTCGTCCACGGTGGTTGATATCCACATCCCACAATGTATTTCTATTCGAAAGGGACAATTCCCGTCAAATCTCCATCTAGATCCGTCCATAAATTCGACTAAGATTCAATAGCGATGTATATAGCTAGGGTGGAATTGAGGTTGGAAGACTTGGAAAATCAGAGATCGCCATTCGAAACTGCGATCGGCGACGGGCTCGTGGAGTTACTGGAGTTCGCCCATTTATTCTTGTGCGGATCGACGCCGAAGCCCTCGTCGTAGTTTCCCCGCGTGATGAAGAGTTGTTTGAAGTGCGGGATACAGTACAGCTTGCCGTTGTTCAGAGTGAAGGAGTCCATCCTGTTCGAACACATTACGTCGTAATAATAATTTCGTGACTGTAGTCAATAACGACAATAACTTTATTTAACATTCCTGTTTTCGTCAAGCGAGGAATAAAAGCTCGGAAGGAGTAACAAAACCGAATAGAGCTTGATGTAATATCCAAGATACGTGTTAAAAATGTTATTGCCTTATTTCAACAGACAAGTCTCTTTGAAACGATCATCATTTTTATACATAATGGCACGTCAATAATTATTAAAATACATTTAATAATTGACACTGCAGCCCTTGACAGTTCTTGGGAGAATCTTCATTTTCACTAAGCAGAAGAACACGTTTAACTTTGTACAGAATATTCCAGCTTTGTTTAAATACGAGTGTTTGATGAATCCGGTATAAACATGGTATTACATGAGCAGATGCTTACTGTCTTATTTTTCTGTTACCTTAAAATGCAATTGCACTGGAGACACCGGAAGCATTGCTTGTGGAAGATTTTGTTATTTGTCTCGATCTTCTCCAAAGGGTAGACCTTCTTCTCGCAGCTCTCGCACACCTCCGCGCAGGTCGTCTGGATCTCCTGCACGATTGTTACGTCAGAAGGGGATAGTATGGTAAAATTTATCCTTACGTATACTCCGCGATAATGGCCGGATAACGGGGATATGTTTGCCGTATGTATGATGGACTGTGTAAAGAGAGATATTCTGAGAGAAAATATGTACATATGCCACGCGAGGAAGAAGACGAAGAGAGACGCGTATCGCTTCTCGCACCAAAAGATCTCCCTTACCCCCTTGATCCCAATCTACCCACTCCACTCTTACGAGACAGACTTAGCACCTGTTTTATTTATCACTTGTGTATTATCGTAATAAATGGTACACGTGAAAGATAAACAGAACAAGATCGTTATACATCAATAGAAACGATGCGCTAAAAGACGCAGTAAACTAATATTATCGCTATCTATGCTATACAAATCAGAAGAATTCGAGAGGCCGTTAACAAGGACTTGCTATCTGTCACGCGAGAGATCGTCTCCGTCGATATCTCGGTCAACGGAGCGGATCTTTCGTAAATTATTATAGAATCAGCTTAGCGCTTCCCGCTGTAAATCACACTAATCTCTTAAATCTCTTAAATAAACTCGTAATTCGTGAGTCCCGTATTCGCAACGGAAGCTATTATTGCACAAATGAAAAAAGGAAGACGGAGAAATGCTCGCTGTCGAGAATATACATTTTCGATCTTTCCTTCCTCTCTTTCTACAGCACTTAGATACACGTTTAAAAAAATTCGCACAATGCCCCCTCCTAAAAATGGGCCCTTCGAACTCGAGGAACGCGACAGCGTTGTTACCCTGATATTCTACGACCGCAGTCACTCGCATCCCCATGCTTCTCCTCTGGAAGTACAAAATGTAGTGGCATCGTGCCTCTATGTCGACGACGTTCTCGCGCTTAGCAGTGCCGGTGAAAATATCATTTCTATCGAATTTCCGGCGAAGCGGTGACACGTTGCACGATCTTGTGGAGAGTAAAAAGAAAAGACATGACAAAAAATAATAAAGATGAGAGAACACTTTACTCGCGCGAAACAACGTAACATATCTAAAATATAATACAATTAAGATTAATATATTTGCATTTTTTTTTGTGAAACAACAAATACGTAGTCACAGTTTTTTTCATATTGCACAGGTGCCAGAAGCAAATACATAACGCGCGTTCGCGAAGTACTTTAATCGTACGAATTACAAATGCAGGCGCAGGCTCGAACGCGGCGACACGAGAACGAAACTGTTTCGTTTCCGTTTTTCTTTTTCACAAGAGTATAAAAATCTACCGTACCATCGCGTTAAGCTGTAAAAAGATTCGAAATTTGTAAAAGCGATCGAAATAGCTACAGTCCTAACCGCTAGGGCTTCGGCCCTGGAACACCTCGACAGTGCCCTACAATTCCTTCAGGCCCTTATCTCACACGTTAAACTTGAGGAAGCGTTATCTTTCGCCTCTCGTTCATCACTCACGCACTTTCTTTCCCTTTCGCGCTCTTACTTTCGTTCTGTCTCTCTCCTCATTCATGTATCAACGAAAAACTTGGCACTTATGAAAATTAGAAATCTAAAGCGGCAGAGGAAGATCGTAACGATGCGAAATGACAGTTTTCAGATTCGTTACTCGTGGCTTTACATGCGCGTAACACCGACAAGACAAAATATTTGTCGTTACGATCTGTGAGAGTTTTATTTTCTGTTGTTTCCACATATTTGCTTAGCATATTTCATATATAATTTTTCTCTAATATCTTGTATTAGATAATCTCGTAATAATTCTTAATTTAATTTTCAATAATTTACGTCATATTTTAAAAAGCGAATCATTTATATAAAAAAAATCAAAGGCACATTATACGTAGTGATTGCATCAGTCATGAAGATACAAATTCGTTCGAACCGAAATTACGGTTTGAAAAATCGCTCAAGAGTTTGATAAAATTTGGCACACTGCATAGTTTTGTTTTAACAAAGAAATATCGAAATGCTTATATAACGATAAATGAGGACCACGTTTATTTAGTGATATTAGAATTTTCAATCAATTAACAAATTACGGCGTATTACAGGAATAGGATAAAATTATAAAAAATAGTGCGCGCATCGTTACGAATTTCACTCAAAAGCGAATCCATCTCGCACTTTACAGGGGATCGTAGAGTCGTCGCACGTATGTTGGTAGAAGAACTTTATATTTCCTCTAAAGAAAGTATCATGACAACGATAAAGCCACGTAAACCGACATACGTACGACACAAAGATGGACGCTCGCCTTTTATCTATAAAGTAAATTAGTAGACAATAAAATTCTCTCTGTTATATATAAAAGGATAAGTCGAGCGTTTCAGCGTAACAAATATCGCCGCGATAAAGCAAGGCTCCTATTACTTATGCAACGAAATTGCACAGCTGTATAATTTAATATATTCCTTAATAGAGTTTTATACAAAAATAATGACAGATAGATCAAAAATTTTTGGTAGTACCGTAATTTTGCAAATCAACGCGTATTAAATTCCCCGCAGGTTTTTTCGTGACTCAGCATATCGTAGCCGGTTTATCGCCATCTATCTGGAACTGATCTCTTTTTTTTTTAGCCTGTATCTTCCTTTCTAATTGGCAATTGGACGAAACGCTCGACGGATCCGACAATCGCGCGAACTCTCACAGTACAATAATATATTAACACATAACATATGATACAGTCTACGGGCTAAGATTTTACTATACGAACATAACGCCGAGTGTGTTAAAACCATCTCTAAGAAAACGCAAAGTCGTTACAATAATCGACGATAACCGAATATTTTATTGCCGTTGCTTAATGGACGAAATTAAAAAAAAAACTGCGTTTCCACCGCGGTTGTCCCAACGGCGCTCTCCTTCCTCCATCGATCCCTCTTCTTCTCCTCCTCTCACCCTCCTCGTATTCGAATTAATCCAGGTGTATTTCCTCCGCCTCTCTCTTTCTCTCTCTTTCCTTTACTGTTCCGCGTCACACAAAAAGAAGAGCACTTGATTTTCTTTGTGATTACTTTCGCTTTACGTTACCACACGACACAAGCGAGCAGGATTTCGGCCAAAATATCGCAGGCAGATTTCAAACGAAGAAAATGAAAAAAAAAGTCAGAACAATAACGCTAAATAAAAATATATATGTGTATACATATATAAAATCACATCAATCATGCTCGATAATCAGTAAAGGAATAAAGGTAATTAATAACGTCGGTGCTTGCACATGGAATTTTAATTATGGAACATATATTTGTTCAATTTTGCCTTAATTATTGAATTTTCTTTTATTGAATTATCCGGCTGTTTTTATCATTTTTAGACGCGGAATTGTAATTTTATCCTTTTATTTCACTTGCAAACAATAAGGAGTTATTTTTCGTCGAGTAAACTTGAATATAAAATTTGCTCTTTACACCGCGTATCGGCTCATTCATATTAGAAATACATTTTATTGCAAAAAAATGATTTCAGAACTTGAGAAATGCAATGAATCGATCGATAATTTTCAATACATTACATTCAGAACGTTGCTATCGTTCTACTAAAGTATATTCGTAATCCCTATAGTTTAACGTGTTTCAATAGCGAATATTTAAAACTAAATAAATAAGCTTAAACATACCTGCTAATATTATAATATAACATTTGCCAATCATTACTTATACATATATTATATGTATATTAACAGTGTAACTACAATATTATTGCAAATTGAAAACTGCAGTGCGATGACGCAATTATCGTATCTGCCCCATAAAAATTCGTAATAATATATGTATACAGCGAGAGCGAACATGAATTTATATTCGCAAAATCCATTAAATATACGAGACGAAAAATTATCCAGCAATCAAGTAACTGTTACGTAACATCAATACTATAATTTCTTACTCAACGAGATAAGGAATGTAATTAAGTAGGCAATTATAATATTGACGTGATGTAACTGTTACTGGGTGTTCACTGGGTAGCGCATTAAATTATCATAAATAACAACTAATGCTCACAATAGAATGTACACGTACGTCGCTAATAAAGGATGCAAAAATAATTTCTCGTTACATAAAAGGCGAGCCACATAAAATAAAGTAAAGTACAATAAAATCTCAGTCGTGCATATTTTTCAAGCACTGTTCGAATTGCGTCAAAATATTAAATGCTGCAATTTATTGATTCAAATCGTATGTAAGTGAGAAACAAATGTCACATTTCGCCGCTCGTTCTGAAATTTTCGATGCAACGCAAACAATGCCTTCGATGAATAAAATACACTTACAGTTTTAACGTATAAAATAAATAAGCACAGGCAGAATGACAACAATTCAAACTCACACCATGCGCATACTTTTACGATGTCGAGTCGTCCATGAAGAAAAAGGGGAATTTATCGAGAAAGATGTTTCTCCTAAATTCCTGACTAATGCGATTAAACGCACGAGCCAGTCAGAGAAGCGAATTGTTACAATAAAGAGAGAACGAGTCAAAGACATGTCCTTCAAATTTAATCAAGGGTAATTGAAGGATCAATGATGACGCGAAGTGACTAATTAGATGCAGGGAGAATGGGGATAGTTACACAAACGACAAGTCGCGACACAATATTGGAATCATGCGCGATTATGTGGGTCGAGAAGGCGTACTTACCACAAATCGATTGACTTTGACTTTCGGTGCGCGCGGGGATTCGTTGGCCTGCGAGCCGAGGGACTCGAAACGGGCCCTCAGACTGCTCGCCGACTCTATGCTGGACTGTTCGCCCGTACCCTGGGCCATCTCCATTTCGGCGATATGGTGATTGCTGACCTTGCCGTCGGTCTCCTCCCAGTGCTCGAACTTAGCACGTAGGGTCTTGGCGCGCGCCGCCTTCTGCGCCTGTTTCAAGAACTCGTCCTCCACCTAGCCCGATAACATGCGAAAGGATTTCGTGAATTATAGGGTGAGGCCACGCCGATCCGGAGTAAAGAGCTGCTTTCCCGAAATTTGGAATGCGGGACAACGACCTGCCCTCGAAAGTTCGTGCCGGATTTTTAAGAGCCGCCTAATAACACGTCTAGGTAGCCCCGGTCTGGCCACTCCCGGCACGTTGGATCTCAATTTATTTAGTAATTAGTGGAAAATTATATATATTTGAGGTGTGAAGAGAATTCTTTTAGAAAAAAGTAGAAGGCGGACTGAAAATGTTTATGATTTAAATCAATAACTCGGTGTTCTCTGCATTTTTTCATTTTAACACTATACTTTAAATAATCAGGACAAAACAGTATCGTTACGATAAGCAACTTTGGAAAGATCGTCTGCATCGAACTGTTACACTAATCCGATATTACGGGTTATGCGGCCTTTACATCGCTCCAGTCCTTCATTCGCACTTTCATGCCTCTTATCGTCTCCCTAACATCTTTCAATTTTTCGGCAATAAATAAATGTTTTGCCACACGAACCTTATCAGAAGCACGGACGTAGTTGGGATCTCTCTCCTCGGCGCTTTCGTCACCGTCGGACTCCTCGCCCTCTTCGGCTTCACCCTCCGAATCCGAGGCCGTGGCTTTGGCGAATTTATCCTCGGGGGGCGGCGTGAAGCATTTCAAAGGCTTCGGGCCCTCCGGCAGGTCCTCCTTGCTCGCGTTCTCCTCCATCTGCCGGAAGATGGACAGCATCTTCCTCGCCGTGTCCGTGTGCACCACCTCGTCCACTCTGTCGTCGGCTCTGACCACGTCTGGATCGCGGTAAATCTCGCGATCCGGTACATCCATCTGCGAAGGAATATAATCAAATGTTAAAAATCACGCCATTTAATTGTTACCCTCGTTCTCATTGTCAAGTAAATGGAGTATATCCCGAATAACTTAGTGCGGGAGGTTTCATAACATTCCAAACATTATTTATTGTACCAGCCATTATTATTCCTATATAAGGTGACGTTGAACGATGTTATGCTTCGTGATAGAGTTTTTATTTTCGCAGATGTATTGACTTTTTGATAAAAGAAGGTATTTCTAACTGACAAATTCTTCAGTAAATTTCTTACGCAAACCGTTTCTTACTTTTGAAAACGTACTTCTTTTCTTCAAGCTCGAGGAAAATATATTAGAGATAATAGTATTCTAAAATTATACCAAAGCGTATATTTTTTAAATTTAAAATCGATAAATTTACAGATGCAAAATAATCCTGCCATAAGAAAAAAGAAATTAAATTATACAAAAATATTTTGTACACAATGAAGATTAATCTTACTAATTAATTATCAATAAATGCATTTGGTTTTAATATATAAATTACATTTATTTCGTATGCTGTATATTTGCATGAATCTATCTCATTCTTTTCGAAATTTTATAAACCGCTAATCTCACGAGATTATTGCTCGACATTTTCGACGTGTATCAATGCATTAATTTGTTTCCTACATAACTGCGCCGGAATTTGTACATTACACGATAAGGCGGCAAGGACAGACGATGAGAGAGCAGAGTACACCTCGTGTTTGTCGTATTGCCGCCTGATAATTTTAAACCGAATATTTAAGCCATGATGCATCGTCGGGGGATCCAGGTAAGCCGGAGATCGACGGCCGAAATGTTTCTTTTACCAACCGTATCCGGCGTGAGTCAACGCGGAAAGTTTTAACCGTGGGTGGCGCGACTATAAATCTCATGTATACAGACCTTTCTTCTCAATGGACAACATTACGTTGTAAAATTATTACGGCAGAGGTAAACGTCATAACATACATATTTTCGGGGCAGACATTTAGACAGAATGTTGGAGGGAAAACCAATCGCACGTCAAATAATAATCTTGGAAAAGTCATGCTTCTGGAAAATAAAATGTTACAAAAGGGAGAAGTCGTGCAACGTGCGTAAATGAATGTTCGCATGCACCGAGGTTTCAACTTAAGGTACCGCAATATCAACAAGGGTCCCTATTACACGAAACGGGGCCGCTCCTCTCGAGACATGTGAGTTGTGGCCCTTCTCGACCCTCCGATTGGCCTGCGCGCGCTTATACCTGAGCCCAAGTGGGCCAGGTAAGCCGAAAACCTGCTTGCCGGATCACGTGGAGCGATCGAGGTGGTGGCTTGGGTCTCGCGACATTTTACAAAGACCACCCTCGCGCCAGTTTAGACGCGCGGCTCTCAGGACGAGACCGGGATTGCCGACGAGACGTCGGTTTTTTACTTGGACAAAAGGGGTTGCGTTACGCTTCAAGGTTGACATTTAATGGCGATAAATTGACAGGTTCAAGAGCGGTACGCGCACTCCGCAGTGGTCAATTGTCGTCACTTGCGACGATCTGCCCATTCGCTTCTCGCTTGTGCCGACGAATCTGCGCTGTAGCGAGGAGCGCGAGTCGTTTAGCTTATGAGTGGCGGAGAACGGCGTGCTTGAGAATTTGAAATAAATGTTACATTATTGGGAGCAGGTCGTTAAAGTAATTCGGGGGGAAATAATTAGTACAATCCTACTTAATTTCGCCGGGAGAGGATAAGAGAAATGTGGATTACATGCATTTCGATCATTCTACACTAAATAATCATTTTTAATTTTAATTGTTCGGCATTGGGAAGATAAAAACGACCAAAGATAAGATAGCTATAAATTGAATAGGAGGAGCATTTCAAATTCGAATTAATCCAGCGAGGACTTCTAGTCGCGAAAGCGACAGGAAATGGGAAACCGATAATTCCCGCGCGACGTTTCTATTGGATTATGCGAGAGTTTACCGCATCTAGCTTGAAATTAAGGGAGTTTCCGTCGGGGTTATGTCACTGTTTCCCAAATCAGAGCCGTAAAGCCCGTAAACGCGCATGTCACACGGGAATTATGTGAAAGCAGAAAATAATAGGAGTTAAGATCGATAATATGGTCGTAATTGCAACAGTATCTCTGTATTCGCTAACGTAACAAACTCTTCTTTTCGACGCGCTTTAGAAGCAGGGCTGGGAAGTCAACTCGTTACCTGTAACGAAGCTGCAGTTACTCTTTTCTTTTTTTTTGGTAACTCGTAACTTAACTTCGTTAACTAATAAGAATATTCTTAAATGTCGCCAGCAGTAATTGACAACGCCAGTGTTTTTCTTGACCATATCTGGCATTTTTAATAATGCAGAAAACTTATTGCGAAAAATGTTACCTCAGCCAGGGTTTCAGCCTGGACTTCCCTACACTCTAGGCGGGCGTCTCATCAATTCGACCACCGAGGCATGTAGGGAAGTCCAGATTCAAATCCTGGCTGAGGAAATACTTTTCGCAATGAATTTTCTGTATTATTAAAAATGCCAGATACGGTCAAGGAAACGCTGACGTTGGTAGCTTCGTTACTTTATATATGTATATTTTTTAAACTTCCACAGATCGCGTTAGGCCTTGCATCAGCGCGTAAACGCTTTTATCGGCGCTTCACAATTCAAATGCAAATTGAATATTTTTACTTTCATCGCGGGCAAGTAACTGCAAAGTAACGATTCGCTACTTTTCGAGTAACTGTAAGGGCCTAAGCAGAATGGCTGTCGTCCTATACTTTTAAGACAGTTACGTTTTAAGCCTTTGTCTTGAGGTAACGCGCAATAACTGTCTTACGTATTGAGTACAGGACAGCCATTCTGCTCACGCCCTTACTTTTCAAAATCGGTAACTTCCCAGATAACATGCATGTCTAAAAGACATCTTTAAGATGTCTTTAACACGTCTTTTAGACATCTTTTAGACATACACGTCTAAAAGATATCTTAAAGACGTTTTAAAGAAGTCTTGAAGATGTCTTTTAGACAAGCACACGGAAAAAAACATTTAGCTGCTGTAGCTAAAATTTAGTAAAATATGGACAGCTAATATTTTTAGTTGTGATAGCTCAATATTTTGCTATCACAACTAAAAATATTAGCTGTCCATATTTTACTAAGTTTTAGCTACAGCAGCTAAATGTTTTTTTCCGTGCATGTTATCTGGGTTGTAACTGTAACATAGTTACATTTTTAGCGAAAAAAAAAACTGCAACTGTAGGACACTTTTGTATAAAGTAACTTTCCCAGCCCTGTTTAAAAGTTTCTAGATTGACCAGCATGAAGGACACAGTTTTCGGTTGCGACGAAATGAAAAAAAAAAAAAAACAAGTTGCACGGCAACATCTTGGTTTCGCGATTCTTGGTCGGATTTCGCGCTGTGGTAATGGAGTCGAGAGGATCTACGGGAGAGTACTTCCAGCGAGGAATTCCATAAAATCACCAGTCCAGAAAGGATATTTGATCACACGGTATCCCTCTGCCGGCACGTCAAGCGGCAAATCAAGCCGCGGCGAGATCGCGCTCCCCCGTACGACGTCCGCTCCTTCATCGTTCGACGGAAACGCTCTTACGGTCGCACGACGAGGAGATCTCGATTGTCGGGGGGGGCGGGGGGGGGGACGGCGGCAATTGCCGACAATTAGCAATTCGATAAAAACACGATGCTGCGGCTGCACATATTAATCGCTCGCTCTAAATATGTCTGAGGTAATTGAAACTTTCATATGAAAGTCTCACGCAATTTTCACTGTGTCTGCGAGCACACCGGGATGTATCGTTCTCCATAGAACGGCCTACGATTGCGATCTCGCGTGCTGATTAACAATACGTACAGATGGTACGATGAAATCTGCGATTTACATTTATATATAAATCGAGCGCGATGTAATTGGCGGGCGAGTTAATTAAATATAATAATATAATAAGTTATTGCGTGAAGTTATTATAATGCCACAGTCAATCGCGATTTCTGCGAGGGGGGGGGGGGAAACCTCGATGAAACGCGGCGCTCCGAAAAATTCGATCGCGCAGTAATACCTCGGGGCAAACGAAGCTCCCATACGAAAAAGCGTGTGTAATTTTTGTGGAAAGTAGAACACGATATTTCTCCTCGAGGAGAGACGCCGGGCACGTTAAACGGATATCCCGAAAAATGATATCGCGATCACGGGGCGTGACGAACCGTCGATCGTCTCTCGAATTAATTGCCGGAGATCCTCGCCGATTCTACAAATGAATGTGTCACAAGCACTCACAGGCACTAATAAAACTCGTCGATCAACCGAAATTCCGTGTCTCGAGCGCCGATCTCGTATCGATCCCGGGGAAGGGTATATGCAAATTGATCGCCTTTGCGGATCATTAACCGTAAACCGGAGCGCTCATTATCCGGGCGTTAACGATCCACCGGCCTGCCGAGCGGACTTGCTTTTCGCGCCGCTTTTTTTTTCGGGGCACGCCGCCCAGGAGGAACCGCGAGTAACTAGGTGTTAAAAGCAGCACAGTATTTCCGGCCGGCTACGCCGAAACGCGGCCGAAGCGTTTCGTCGGGCCGATAATTACCTTTCCGTGATTTTTAAAGCCCCCTCGGCGAACGGAACGAGACTGAGCGTCGTTCGGACCGCGCGAGTCCGGTTCGCCACCTCGGCCCGCGCTTCTCGAGGGAGGCTCTCCTTCTCTCCGGTTCGTGAGAAGTTCGTACCGTCGGCGCGACAGCCGGTTGCTATGCCGTTCGCAGGAGGATAGGGGACCGGCGGTGTGTGTCCTCCTCCCCTCGGTGTGTGTATGTGTGCGTGAGTTACTGCGAGAGGGGCCCCGTCGCGCGTCGCGCCTTCCCTCGGTTAAGGTTCCCGGGCCCGCCGCCGCGCCGGTGCCCGGTCCGCTTGTATTGCCCGCTTGCTCTTCACGAATGGAAGGATGTAGAAATACTAACGGTAAAAGTATGGCTGCTGCTGCGCTGACCACTTCGGGAGGGGGTTCAAGGACAGCCCGGTTTGTTGGAATCGGCTCGCCGTGTCGTGCGTTCCGCGCATCGCCGCCGGTCCCCCGAGAGATGCGCACGAGGCTCCCCCCATTATTTTTGAGTCGCGCGAGTCGACGGGACTTATCGCGTTTCGATAATTATCGATAAGACCGCGCCTCGCGCCACGGGGATGGTATGGAAGTTAAGGCGCGAGGGAGATGCTGTGTTCATTCGTGATAGTGAATGTTTCGTTCCCTCAACTGCGGGTATTTCATCCCCGAAATAGGTATGCGTGCCCAGCGAGAAACGATTCGTCGATCGATGTCGAAACGATGTCGAATCGATCGACGAATCATTTCTCACTGGGTGCAAAATCGGAAAAATCGGGATAAAAATTAAAAGCGCTCTCCGCAACATCTCTTTCCTTCGACAATGTCGAATCTTTTATAAAAGATACCGTTTAAAAGATGTTATTGCTATTTTTTATCATACAAAAGATTCATTTTATTTGCTATAAAATATGAGAAAAATTGCAAGGGGAGTTGAGGAAAACGCAATTGTTGCTTGATCTTGCGTGACCTGGATTCTCGCATAATTTAAAAACCTCGAGATGTATTTTTAATTGCGTAGGATATGGTCAACTTTCATTTTAATAATTTTAATTTTTTTAATCTACGATTAGAAGCCAATAATCTCGTTAGGTAAAACTTTGAGCAGTTGTGTTAAGCGATAAATGTTATTTAACGTAAGGCGCCATGTAACCGGGCAAAGTAATATAAAACCACGTTAGTGTCAAACGAAAAAAAAATGCAGGTGATTGAAGGCGTGATGCAATTTGAAACGGCCAAACGCGCACGAGAGCGCAAACATTTCTCCTATCTTAATTGAAAATGAGATCACGCTGTTTCTCGAGAAACCAATATCCTGTGCTGCGACGTGAATTTAGTAAATGTCACGTTTTAAGATATCTTTATATCTTTCCTTATCAGTAGTCCAAAAGTTGCCAAGATTAAGCCGATATAAATGTCACTGATAAATATTGCATTCGAAATACAAATATATGATTACACAGTAAAAAATCGTGAAATGTTAAAATTTTCTTGTGTTACCAAGACTTGATTATTATTTCAAGGTGAAATTAACATTTTATGCGTTATATTTATGTTACTTAAAAATTGTTTCAACTATTCGTACAGTTTACATATCCTGTCTGTTTTTATTACATCACACTTATGGTTGAAAGAACATAAGTATAAATGTGAAGTATAGTGTTAATTAATTAACATTTCTAATTTGTCAAAAAGTAACACACGCGATGAATGTTATTTTAACTTAAAATTTAGAGTGGACTTTTTGGAAACTTTGTGAAAAATGTTAACATTAACGTTTTATTTTTTACTGTGTATACGAAATGTAATAGTACAAATGGAAAAGAGCTGTTATAATTTAAGCGATAAAAATTCAATTATATTTTAATCGGGGCATTTAGCTACTATTCTCTACATGTTTTTTAATTCCACAGACGATAAAAATTCCTAAGCGAAGTAACGTGGCAATTTAATTAGTTAGCACGCACACGATTTGTTAGAGAAGATTGACACAGAAACGTGAATCAATCAACGACAACAAAGCCAAAGGGTCGAACCTTGACTTGACCCTCGCGAGGCGGCGTAATGCGAAACTGCTTCCGCTGTTTCTCCGGTTCCTTATAGGTCTCAAAGAATTTGAACTTGTTCGAAATTTCCGATGTTTCTACGTGGACCTCCTCGGTCGCGTCTGAGCTGCGCACCACGTCGTTTGAGACTTGACGGCCCATGAACGCCTTTCTCGCAAACGTTTCGGAAATTATCATTACTAGACGTTATTGCGTGCGCATTTTGCGTGAAACCTCGCGTATCCTCTCGCTCAAAAGCGGGAGATACTTTCCTTGATACAATCATATTACTTCGAATAGCAAGCGATATCGCATAAGAAACAATACAATATAACAGTTCATATTAGAAAAAATGTTGTAACGTCTTACGTCGAGTAGAAATTATAATATATTTATCTGTAAACGTTTACTTAATAATTGAACAATTTTGAAGTTAATGTTCGAGTCACGTCAATAATGTCAACTATAAAAGACAAATATTGTATTCTTTTATTCGTAATTTTAACAGACAAATTCAATGATTTCAAAGATAAATCGTGAACTCGGCTTAATCGCGTATGTATTGTACAATAGATAAAAGAAATTGACTTACGTCTCGTGCACGTCGTGGGGTTTCGGTTGGCGTTTTCGGATGTACTGGCGTCACGGGACGTCCTGTTTTCGCTGCAGAGGCGTCTAGTTCCAAAAAGAGCGACCGCGACTTCCTGCTGATACCTGTGCGGCGTGACCGACAGATTATCATAAATATAGATTATCATAAATCACTCGTAACTTTAAACTGTCAATTAGCGCAGGTGATACTTTCCCCCTGTGCAATTCGACAACTCATAACGGTCCATTTCCGTTCGGAACAAAAATAACTTCTCATACAAAGCCGCTGAATAATAATATGACCCCTTAACACAGTCTTCTATTCTGTAGAGAGTTTTTGCGCGGAGCATCTCGTATATTATAAGAAATACTAGGTTGCTTTCTTTCGAAGGAGCTCGCGTATAAGACGGATAAGATCTTTTTAAGAATCCTTGATCTTTTATATAAAAATTATCAAGTGCCTTCGCCAGCAACAGATTTGTAGCCTCAGAGTGCGAAAAGATACAAACAACGGAAACACTTGTCGCATTACGACTGAACTTCTCTCTCGTATCCCCATGTGTTCTCAGAATTGTCACGTAATTCCTCCCCATTGCTGCGCTCGCACTCGCAACGCGGCTAATGCTCGATCAAACATTTCGTCAGTCCGTGTCCGCCGAGTTACCATCAGTTTACGTCTTTTCGCAATTCTCTAGTCTCCGCAACTCGCAAGTCACTTAATTGCTGAAAGTCCATTTCGTACCTGCTGCGATCACCTCCTCGTCGGCTTTCTCCGGTTTCGGTTTACTGTCGTTTTCGTCGTCCGAGGCCGCGATTGGCTCGCCCCGTTCGAATCTCTCTTTGAGGGAGCGAGCGTGGGTAGTCGAGTGCTGGATCTCTTCCGCCGCGTTTATCTTCGTAACGCGGTCGCTTCCGGCTACCGCCTGTTGATACATTTCTTTCATCTTACCCTGTTTACCCTGCAAACCGGAGAAAGAGAGACATTAGTGGCGTATTAGCAAAAAGCGATGTAAAGGGAGAATCCACCGTGTTTAAGAAGCAGGTTTCTCCGAGGAAAAAAAAACTTGCTAAACGTTACGAAAGAAACGTGTACAGCTGTTCTCTGACGGTACAATTTACACTTTACGATGTTACACGCGCAATAATAATAAAAATAAAGACACGAGCATCCAAGTTAATATTAGGACCGTTATAACGGAGCCGCATGACTTTTTACTTACATCGACAGTCTACCGTAAAGTAATAACAATGAAGCTTACATTTTTATTCTAATATTTATCTCTCACAATGACAGATTACCAAGAACAATCGCGAGCGGATTCCTGCGATTTCTTCTTTCCTAGCCTCGCGCTGAACCTCGCGCCTTCCCTGTTGGCTGGTGGTCTCCCAACGATTCTTGATGTCGTCCATCTTCGAAAAACTGATCGGTCGTTCGCGCGCGGTGCGTTTCGACTTGACAATTTCAGTTTCCACTTCTAGAATGTCGGAGAAATAGATGTGATTATGTTACAATTTAATACACGGAAGAAATTTTTATCAATGAAAGATTAGAAGACTTCGTGAACTCGAGCTGGTAGTTTTGTATTCGGCAACTTCAACAAATCTATAAAATTTTACTCGCGTATCTTCGTTTCTCTTTGAAGCGGTTTTCTTAGTGTCTTTACCTTCAGTTTCCTCCTCCACTTCCTCACTTTCGCTGGACTCCTCGTAGGGTATGCCATTGAGAGACTCGTCCGCCACACCAATGTCCATGCCTTTCGCCTGAAATCTGGATAAGAAAACGTGTACAGTAGTTACGGACACTCGGCGCTTGTTGTAACATATTTAACTCCGTGTTTTCTCGAGTTTCAAGTTACGAGAAGAAAACTGCTGACTGCTGAATACCGCGAAAACCTCACTCGTACCGGCTATACGTCAACCCGTAGACAAAGCGGACTGATAAAATTACTAACAACAATTTACGTCCGAATTAATAATCGCCATGATAAAAGTTCGTACCCAAATACTAATTGTAAAAAGCCACAAAATTATAATACAATTGTAACAAAAGACATTTACACACGTGACAAAACGTGTTTTCGCGAGTACCGCTAGCAGCTATTAGTTGTTATTTTTAATATCTTTTCCTTGTGTACTTTAATTACACTCGTGGTTATCGGTCTATTCCTTCGCGTAAAAAATGAACGCGATGGTAATTGCGCGTTTCGTCGTTACCGAGAAACGCCAATCCGGCGAAATTACAGCTCATTATTGTATATCTTCAGCAGAGGCAAATCTGTGTCACGGTATATCATGTTTTAAAATTATTATTGTGCGCGGGTAGAGCCGTATATTATCATAGAAAGATGCGGCTTGAGTTCACTGCCTATTTATACAAATGTGAAAATATAGTCGGCGAAATCTTATAAATCTTACATACGATATGAAGATTTTTTTATTACCATACACCTTTGCGGTACACCGTAAGGAATACGCGTTTCAACAAGGCGTATCGCGCATTACTCACTTGGCCAATTTGCTGAGAATACTCGGCGATCTCTTGACGGCGATCTGCGACGGCGATCGTTCGATCTCATTGGCGTTCTCCGTGTTGGCTTTCTCGAAGACCTGGAAGCGCGACTTGACGTTCAGGCTCGAGAGTTCCTCGAGTCCCAGATCGGGTTTGTCGGAAGCTGAAATTCAGAAAGGGACGCTCTTACTCCTCTCTTCGGCGACACGCTCGCGTCGCTGTTCAAACATTTCAACACCCTCTCTCTGTCTCTCAGGCGGTAAACTTGTTAGACCACTCGAGAGCGACGATTCGCGGAAAAAGGGCTGCAAGGTTGCACACACACACACACACACAGCACGAAAGTTCTGAAAAGCGTAACGAGGGTAACGAGGACAGTCTCTAAAAGGACTGCTATCAAGGAGAGTCGAATCGATCGTCCCGATATGATGACGTTCTCAGGTCAAGCACGAGCCATAGCGTCTGGTTTCAGACATCGATCACGTTACGGCTCTTACAAGCTTCTCACATTCTTCCCATGGACGTCGCGCCGCATACCACGCTGCGACGAGATACCGTCCGGTTGTTTGCTTTTCCGGTGTTTCGCTCTCGAGAACTATCAGTATGTCATATATAACGTCACGATTTTATGACGTATAATGTAAGGCTAATGTCGCGTACAATGTGGCGCGAAAGACGTCCCTCGCAAGTGGCAAGTTTGCAGCAGCATCTATTTCTTCATTCAATTCGCCAGCAATTTTACAAACCGCTATGACACTCTCGTGTGTCAGCGAAATAAATCTTTTAAAACGAGACGAGAAGGACACATAGGCAGGCACGTACAATGCGTTAAAATACACCACAGGTGATTTCGCACGTGAGTTGCATGGACTGTTAGAGAGTGTTATTCGTCGGTTATTCATTGTTCTCATGCAGACAAAAAATTAATCTCAATGTCGAGATAGAGAGAGGGAATTCTGTGGAATCCATCGGTAACTCGAGTGTCGCCTCGCAGGTCCCGGGGAAAAATAAAAAAGGAAACACGCCGGCTAATGAAACGCCCGGCGTCAATAATGATTCGTGGCCCGTTTTATTAATCGGCGCGCCAATGCGGGACACGTTACGCGATTCGATGCACAGATAAATTTTCGACTCGACGGCCAGTCGACTGGTTAAAAGAAGCCACTCGGCAAAACGGGGCACACAGAGCGTTAGGGGCAGATCGCCGGATCAGCGTTCCACGCCGCACTCACACACGTCGAGCATTGGCTGTTGCTGGCTGTTACCTCTGACCACATCGGGCGGCAACTCTTTCGGCTCGTTCTCCCGTATGATCAGCTCCGGCTTTCGAGGTCGCACTGCGGAGTTCACAAGACAACTCTCTGTCGCATTAACGATACCTCCCATTCTCTCAGCGCGCGCGCGGACGCTCGCGCGTAATTATACGGGGGCGAGGGGCGAGGGGAGGGAAGAGGAGAGGGGAGAACTGTAATTCTAGCCCCTGTGCTAAGGGGCTTAACAAACTGGGTCTCAGACGACCCACCGGCACGGCACTCGGGGCCCCCCCTAAGTTATGCCGGCGCATTAAGTCAGCATTACACTGTATAATACCTAGATTTCTTCAGCTATTGTCTTTCATTACATGGAGAACCGAGCCATATTTCTTATCATTATCCCTGCATCAAGAATGCAATTTTACTTCTAATTGTTCCACAGTTGTACACATTCATCCTCTGACGTATATACATCGCGCTCTTAAAATAAAAAACGAGAGACACGCGAATGTGTGCAATTATCGTCTGCAGTGACGAGTACCGCTGGAATTAATCAAGTGAGCCGTTAATCGCGACGCGAAAGAAATTGACGGCCGAGAAAGAGAGATAGAGAGGGCGAGCGAATTTTATCTCTCTCAGTTTTCCCGTATTCGAAGCGCATTTACGCGTGGCTTTATGCTCCTTTAATACGTCCCGACCCCGAGGGTCGGGGATTGCGCCTTTGTCCGCACAAAGTTCGCCTCGGCCGAGAGATTAGCGGCGAGACGGAGCCGACGATGGAATCGGCGCTCGGTCGTTTAAGCGCGTCCGCGTTAAGATTTAACGAGTAATTCGTAAAGACGATCCTTTTAAGCAGATTAGCGGCTGCAACGCGCGCCGGCACGCGGCATTGCGCGGGATGGTAGTCATCTTACCGGGCTGGTCGGACTCCTCGACCGGTTTCGGTTGGAAGAGCTCCTTGAAGTGTGGCTTACAGTAGAGCGTGCTCTCGTGGCTCTCATAATTGTCCACATTGAGCTGCTTGCTGCACTGCACGCACCGGAAGCAATTCTTGTGCCAGACCAGACCCTCGGCCTTTGTCTGCTCCATTTGGAACACGACCTTGCCGCAGCTGCGACAATTCGTATTCGCATCGGCATTCTGGCCCACCTGCAACGCACCAGTGCGTCAATTAATTAGCACCTTCGCGACTTTCACTCTCGTTCTCGACGAAGAAGCGAGACGGACGGCACGCTAGATCCGCGGTTAAACATTCGTCCAGAGTCCGCGCGACACTGGAATTTAACAGCCCAATTTATCGACAACTAATGATTTTGAACGCGATTTCTTTTTCCTTAAGGGTAATGACAAATTATGTTAAATACTGTAGCGACAAATGCTTCAAGTTCAATAGAAAATAAAGAATAGAGACTTACGGCATTCAGCTGCTGTTGGACTTTCCCCGCATCGACCGAACGTACGTGCAGAACTGTCTTCTTGGTAAGAGCGTCGAATTTGTTAAAGCTGGACTTCTGCAAAGTACAAACGACCGTAATATCAGACAATAAATGCTACGAGTCAACAAGTTGAGAAAGAAGAAGACAGGGGGAAGAAGGTGCGAAAGTATCGTACGTTCCGCAGGCAAACATTTCTTCGAGCATCAACGGAGCAAGAAAATTGTATTCTTCAGCAACCCTTTACAGAACAAGATGCAAGCAGAAACGGGAGAAAAAGTAAGCAGATTCAGACAAGACACCATTGTGCAAAATTAATGGTTGCAGATTGCACGCGTGAGATATTCAACTCGTAATTGCGATCCTGTTAGAGAAAGAATTTTGATTGAAAAAAAAATTATACGTCAATACAATATTGTAAATTCCATTTTAGCACGTTGCTCTTTTGGATTCTCTTGAGAAAATACTTTTGACTGAAAAGAGATTACGTAATGGCACAATATTGTGAATTCCACTTTACACAAGTTGCAATTTTTCATTTGCACGAAGCACTGGCATTCATTCTCCGAGAACAGAGATACAAGGATCGTACAAAGGTCTGAAACCTGACGGAAATCAATCGCAGACTACAAAAGCGGAGTGTATATTTCTATCTTCTTACGATGGCGGCGAAAGCAATAAAAAAAAGGGGGGACAAAATCCCGGGTCAAACCTGTGTACGAGCCGACCTTATCACGCTTAAGGTTCTATCTCCCTCTTCCTCGTCGGGGTCTTACCTCGAGCTTCGGCCTCTCGCATGCCCGGTCCTTGTCCTTACCCTCGTCCGTTAAGCTTGCCAAACTACAGTAGGAAGCCCTCTGTCCCCCCCGGGGGTCGGTTTCAGTGATTTGTCAGTTTTAGGGTTTCGCATGCCGGGAGGAGGTGTAGCGTCGCGCAACAATGAGAAGAAAATGGGCCGCGGGTTAGTACGGTTTGGTGTAAAAACGAGCACACGGGTGGATGAGAGGTACGGTAAGTAAGTTCACCGATTACCGTATCTCGGAGCGCAGCAGTTAGCGAGCTCGCGACATTCCGCGTTCACGGCGTTGGCGAACGACGCCGTACGGAAATTTCAAAGATCCGCGGGTCGACGGAGCTCTCTCCCTCGCGCGGCTTCAGGACGAGCGTGCGTTCTCGGAGGTGGAGACGACGGTGCCTCTCGGGCTAATATTTACTTTCGAGAGTAACAATTTGTTTCCTTTTCCCCCAAGCCGGCATTTTACCGTACACTCGGCAAAACGTATGCATTACGTTCTCGAGGCGAGTACACGCGGGAGAGGACGATTTTCCGCGAAGAATCGCGGCGCAATATTAAAGACATTTGCCGCACGAGAAGCACCGCATTGCTAATCGGTCTTTCCCTAATGCGATTGAATACTGCATTCGCAGCCTGTTTCCCGCGTTGAATTATTTACGACTTCGTGCGAAGAAGCGTCTTTAAGAAAAAAAAAAAGAAGAATCTCCTTAGTCTGGCGAGCAAGAAAGGACGTTACTTTTGGCTCGCGTGGTATACGCGCGAGGCGTTTTAATCGCTGATCGAAGCTTCGCCAACTGCTGCCTCGGACAACCAAGGGAAAGGGGAGCGAACAAAACGAACGGACGGAGGACAACATTGGAAGTAGCACGGAATTGCCCGTTGAATCGCGCCGGGCGATCATCTCGCGTCACGAATTCACTCTTTATCTCGAGGTGGCTTGGCTTTCGGCACCGTCACGCGTTATCGAGTGCATCGGGGTGCATTCTTCAGCACAATCGCGAACGTTCAGTCGGTCAACAGTACCAGTCTCTTGACGCAAATGCCTCGTTAATGTGATATCTCTATGCGGCATGTAATGTTAATCGAATCGTTGCATTACTTTCTTTTTGAGGGGATCCTAACGCCGTCTGTTTTATCGACACTCTTCGCTAGAGGTAATCCTTTAATTGGCTTGATGGAAATGCAAAACTCTTTTACGAAATTAAAGTACGCAATCGACCGTGACTGAGTCTCAATTTTTGGCATTGAAGATAAAAGTTTTGGCAGCTACGCGACGTTCGGCGAGCGCCACGCTCTCGATTCGTTAATTCGCGGGTGAAGAAATTCCCGTTTTCTTCTCTCGTATTCGCCATTCGCGGGGGAAGAAGCGCGAACGAAATGCCAACAGGATATCTCGAACGGGACAAGATGTCCATCCCTCTCCTCGGCGGGCGGCCAAGTCGCACGTCAAAATCCCGATAATCGCGTGACCGATAATACGAAGCGAAAGAACTCGCAATCGACATCCGGACCCTGCGTTTCCTCGTAATCGGCTGAAGTAGGGCAAATAAGTAGTCTGTTATTATCAAGTCGGCCCTTCCATAAATGGAGAGACGGCATTCGCGGCGTGACGGTAAACTACTCCGGCATGCGTGCGGCGAGTTCTCAGAGTGCGTAGCGGTGTACTTGACCGAGCGTTTATCCCGGAGAATGTTATCCGAATACTTTTATACGAGGATCGTTTTACGCTTCTCTCACGTTTCTTGCGAAATTTTCGGATGCACTTGTCATTTTATGCTGCAAGCGCGCACTGGTCGAACGTCCGCGCCTCGCACGTTGCGTTCGCCTCGCTTATTATTCGCGTTTAATGCAAGCGCGGTAAATGCGTAATCGGCCGCCTCCAGGTACCGTAGGATAGAACAATTACACGCCCACCGCGAGAGGCTCTATAGATCGTTACTCCCGAGTAGAAATTGCCGATCGCGAACTTTGATAAAACTCTAGTTTCATTAGGCCGCGCTCGCGCTTTATCTAACGTTATTCCATTCGCTCGACTGACTTCAATGTTGTCCGCGCCGTTTACGAGAGGTACTTACGAGGGCCTTGACCGACACCCTGGCGAAGACGGGCGCGTCTCTGCTGAACCGCGAGTAACCCTGCTCACATACTCTCAGATCACCCATCGACCTCGCCTTCTACGATCGGGGCGAGAGCGTCAACGAGAATACAAATTAGCGGTGAGTCGTTTCGAGAGACGCGAGCTCTGTGAAATATTGATCGCAGGCGATAACGGAGCCGTCTTATCAAACGAAGATTCGATAATCGGCGTCGGAGGTTCTTGGAAAGGAAAACGCCAATAAAAACGTTTTTCAAATTCTTGCACTTGGCATTCTATTATTAACTTTTGACTGCCACGAGGCCTCGTGATATGGAACGTTAAACGAAATGACGAAGCTGTACTTAATTGAAAACCAATTTTGCTATCTCGCGTAAAAGGATAAAAATACTTCCCGAAGGGATATAATTACGCAGGGAAAAAAGTTGTGCTATTATTAGAAATTTATGTCACAGAACTCGCGCTCCAGATGCGATTAGTATATTATCAGGATGCTTATTTGGAGTTCACATAATACGCCACATTATGAAGCAAATGTCGAAAGTGGCTCATGCAATGACAAAAGTTTCACGATGCACTTTTCATTCCTGACGAGCCTACACTTAGCAAATTAATTCGCTAATATCGTTAATAAGCATTCGCATGCTTGCAAATTTTGTCTATGCGGCAGTGATCGACCTTCTTCATTGTCATGAAAGAAATCGTAAGTGGATGCAAAATACTGATGATTAAAATTTACGGAATATTGCAACATGCATCCATACACATATTCATCGAGAAAACGCGGCTTCTATTTTTTTTTCTAGATAACTGCTCACAAAGGATTTATCCTCTATCTCTCGAAAGAATCTCGTTATCCTCTCGAATATAATTTTGAGATTATTATCTCGCGCGGAGAGAGATTTTTTAATTAAAATTAGAAAGAGACATTAGCCAAAATTTGCACGGCTGTTACAACATCACGTTCAACTACATCGACCAGGACAAGAACAAACATTCGCGATGCGCGTGTGCTTCCGCATGAATTAGTACAGTATACAAACCTCCTCGGTTTCCATCGCGTGGCTCGCTTTCCCAAAGGTCGCCTGATCGCCGTCGCTCATGTTCGAGATGTCGCCAAAGCTGCGACACTGTTAGTGACAAAATATGTATCTGACAAATGTATCGGCGATTAACGAAGCGGACTTTACGGCGAAAGCGTAAACGTTATTATTAAATCGGTATCTCATCGATCGAGTGAAACGAGGCCTCCCCGACTCTACGGTGGGGGAAGACCACGACGGAGAGTAATCGACGACACTATCTGGCGTGTGTTCCTCACGTGTCTTGTTTCACTGTAAACGCGATCGAGCCGGCTACACGGTTATTACTTACTAATTGCTTGATGGACACACCAGTGGCAATCCGCTCCCTGCACAGCTTCTCCTGATCGCTACGACTCGTCTCCGAGACATAGTTCTGTGTCTGCATGCGCAAAAAGAAGAAGAACAAAAATGCAGGCGGGTCGGTATGCATGCAGCAACGTATGCGGGGCATTTGCTACGCGGTCTTACGCGATCGCGACATTGCGCCAAGTGCAAATGATCTTATTGAATTATACGTTAACCAATCGCTATACGTGTAATTCGCTTCTATTTGCCTCAGCGGGGAAAATATAGGGGAGAGCGGGGCACAATGTGTCACGGGGCACTGTGAGCCACATCAGATTTCTCGGAGGTTATTGATGCAAGTAATGAAAGTTTTTTGTCGTCAGGCTGTGAGTTCAAGTTGAACTTTGAGGCCTAAAGGAACTTCGATGACAGTTCGTTAATAATATTAAAAATGTAATAGATTTGGACCCCTGGACGCTAAATTTTTCGCTCGTCGGTGAAATGTCGATGAACCTAATCTCACTTTTCTAAACAGCCTAGGTTTTTGGTCATAATTCATAGTTAATTGACCCGTGCATCGCTCAGTGCCCATGTTTTTTTATTTTTTGTTCGATAAATAATTGATTTTTGCTATACAATTGGTCTGTTACCAGTGGGGCATAATGTGTCACTGAATCGTGGGGTACAATGCGTCATCTCTTGACAGCCTAGGTTTTTGTTCCTAAACGATAGTTGCCTAATTCACGAGACCAGTATGTGTATGTGTGTGCATTGCAGTTTAACAAAAAGGCAAGACAAAAATCAGATCCTGCGTGTTGTATAGCGACTCTTCCCCAAGTCCTCGCCAGACGAAGCGACTCTGCCACAACATATTCTGGCAATGGGATACTAATTCATTAGAAAAAAGTGACACATTTGTCCCACTCTCCCCTACTTTCGTCATGTCAACTGGTTACGTTTACTCGAGTAAAAGCGCGAATTTTAGCGTTCGCTGGGTCACGCTGGTGCGACAGCAAAGTTACGCGCGCAATTCTCGAAGGTAACAACGTAATCTTGTCGGCGAGCTTAATCGAACAGCGTAGGCGAGTTTTAATTGCTTAATGGAGCGATTGTACGCCCGCTGCGCCCGCCGCTAATTATTTAGCTGGCCGTTCTCTCGCGTCTAGTAGATCACGAGGTGAGTGGCCGGAATGGGGATAAATCTCTGCTCGCCCGTTTCTATTCATCTCGCCGGCTGAGAAACGAAGTTGGAAAATGGTACTTGCATCCCGCATAAATGCTACGCGTGAAACAGCTCGTCGCTGAGAAACAGCTGTGCCGAGAGAAGTGGAGGAAACGAGAAGAAAAAGGAATGCCTGAGAAACACAGGGCGTTCCGCGAGATCTGTCTTAAATGTCAAAAGTGCTCTTTACGTTTGCGTTTCACGCTAACTCTCGGATAATTTAAACGTGAGCTAATTCACACAAAAGATTAATTTCCAAGGAGCGAAATGCCATTAATAAAATAAGATTGAGACCGAGGAGTTGAGGATTAAATTACGTTCTGACTGTAATTATTGGAGTAAGTAATTTGCGATTAATTCTCAGATACGTACGCATCAGCGCAACTTACCAGTGACTTAACATTGACGTTCGATAAATCGTCCTCGTCGGAAAAATCGATCATCTCCGAGTGCGATCGCCGAGCGCCCGTATGCATGCTTGCGTCTCGTAAGCTACAGTTCTGATGGAAAAACAAAAAAAGAAACACGAACACACTGAGCATGCAACTGCATGAGAGATTAATAAGCTGCGTCTACGCTCTAACTTGCTTGCGCCGAGCCGTTAGTCGCGTACGATAATCACAGGCAGGAATAATTACGACGCGCCACGTCGAATTCCACGTTTCGTTCGCGACGCACTCCGAGCGATTAGACTTTCTAGAGAGACGCTTTTTCACGTCCCTCGTTCGTTCGCAAACTTTTCGACCGATATCTATTTTATCGTGCATCTACGAGCGTATCGAGCTCCGTTTGCTTTTATATAAGTATAAATAATTTGGCGCACGATCTCGTCCACACAGATGTCCGCGCGCATAACTAGATGATGTTACACAGAAACGTATTAACTCATGAGCAAAACAGAGATACTGCATTTACACAGAGTCTACATTCACGCAATGAAACCTGTAATGCGTTAGCGGACAAATATGGTAATAACGTAATGGTAGCGTAGACTTAACGTTTCTCTTCTTCGTTCAGCCAATTGGAATTAAATATATTATTTAGCGAAATAATATCCAATCATCTTTTTCTCCTACCGACGTTAACGTCATAAAGGATGGTACTCGGAACGGAAGTAAAAGCACCACTGCAGCTTGTTAGCTGTAATTGCGCGCGGAGGACGAGCCCCGCAAAAAGGATACGTCGCAGCGATCTCGATCGATATCGTCCGCGCTCCACTTAATAGCGCCCCGATATCGGTCGCGATCGCGTATCAGATCCCCCGGTTCCGAGAAGAGCGTCGGACGAGTAGAAAACCCGCTCCTATCTGTGCCGACGAAATCCGGAAAAGCCGGCGGGCCGGCGTATGCAGATGAGATACCAAAAGTGCGAGCTTCCGGTTTTCACCGGCGCGATCGCGCTGCCGGCGAGCTTTTACCGGGCAAAGGCGGTAATTAGCGATGATAACGGCCCCGCGCACAATAATTTCGTGCCCGCGCGCGTCCGAAAGCCGCTCTCAATCGCGTCCTCCGAGAGTGGCGGACGTGTATCGGCGAATAAAAAAAATCGCGTTGACACATATACGCCTTATCGATAGCCAATGCAGAATGTAGCGGATTAGCAGATACGGTGTAGCCGCGTGACGCGAGATGTCCCGGAGCGACTTGGTGCATTCACCGAGCCTTCCACCGATCTGAGAAGTAAATCGTTTTCACTGCACTCTCTCTCCGAAGCTTTCGGAGTGAAGGCAGAACCATGGAGTAAAATTCAATACAATAATCACTCCGCTGGAGCGAATGTTTACTCCGCTGGAGCGAATGTTTACTCCAATAGAGCGAATGTTTCACTCCACGGTTCCGTTTTCACTCCAAAACTTTAGAAAGGGAAAATATGCCGACGTACCGATAATGACGACGGGGCTTCTACGTGTTCGCAGCAGTGCAGTTCTTTTGATTGAAGTTTAATTCGATTTGATATACTATACCATACAGCCAGAAAAAAGTTTGTTGGAAATCAAACTTTGCTTAAATTTTGACCTTACTAGACTTTTATTTAATTTAAAAAAGAAATGATTTCTTTACTTTAACCAAAAGTTGATTTGACTGAGACTGGAGTTTCTAAGAGAATTCATATTTATTTCTTTAAATCTAGCAAACGTTTTAGTAGAAGTAAATACAAATTTAGTAGATTCAAAGAAATGTCATTTCGACGTATCTTATTTGTTTAACCTAACTAAAGTCAACGGCACACGATACCATTTTTCCTACTGGATTGCTTACGAGAACCAATACTGCTGTCCTAATCTAAAAAGCAGTATCTCCATTTTTCAGCCATTGTTAACTGCTCTTTTGTGTAGTTAGTTCTCAAGATGAGTCAAAATGACATACTTCACTAAAAAGCAGCAACCACCAATTTACTACTCTTTTAAAAAAAAATGTCATCGCAATGTAAAATTATTTAAATCGAGGAGAAATATTTTAATATACAGAATTCACTTCAGAATTAATACACTTTTTCGTGGTGGCCTAGCTATAAGAATTTAAATGCGCGTTTTCTCGAAACTAACAATTTGGGAGATACTGTTTTCTAAGTTAGGACCATGGAGTCTGTATAAGGAGACTGAACTAGACTTGATTACGTCACCAAACATGGGCCGCCATTATTGCAAAATATTGAATAAAAAATTTATACAGACTCCATGGTTAGGACGGCAGAATAAAGATGCGGAGTTTTAGATCAGGTGACTTAAGGCTAAATCCTGATTGAATCTCGTGACTAATCCAGTAAGAAAAATAGCATCGTGTGCTTTAACCTTTTTTCTGGTTGTAGTATAACTAGTATGCCCACTCTCTGTCGGCCCTTTGATCTTCTCCTTCCGATCACGTGGTTTCCGCCATACAAGGTGAAGCAATCTGGTGGATGCGCAGTGTCAACCAATCAGAGGTGGTCAAAACTACCGAATTGACCAATCAGAAATTTATCTTAACCTTCAAACTGCAAATCATTGCGGTTGAATGCAGGAAGATTCAATGAACAATTTGCCCCAAAAATTGGTTACATGCGCAATGTTTCACCTTGTATCTTTACACCATGGTCTCATTGGTTGTGCCAGAAAAAAATGACGGATGCGCAGAAGGGATCGACGCAAAACCCAAGAACTGATAGAGTGGGCCTACTAGTTATACGGGACGTCTCGATTTGACATGAAATTTTCATCCAGACGAGACGCTACGACAGTTAGAGAACACGTACCGGTGAAAGGATAGCTGCGGGACATCCCGTGCGCACACGTGCGCGTCTATCAAAACGATTTATAACTCACCACGGAGATGTTCTCCTTCTCGAGATCGCTCTTCTTGCTCTTCTTGGTTTTCTTTGTGCGCGGCGTAAGGTTCGGCGAGGTGGCATCGTTTCCAGCGACGCCCTCGATCTTCTTCTTCTTCGTCTTGGTCCCGCCCTTCGAGGAGGTCACCACGTTGGAGCTCGTGGTCACTGTTTCCTCGCGGCTCTCGCTCTGCGACGGGAACAGAAAAGAGATGCATACGTTACGTCCGGGGTCATTTTTCACGACGCGTTCAAGTTCTCCCGCGTCTCGACGATCAGGAACGAAGCTCGGGTGATCTCTTCGCGACCGAACGTCTCTTTCGCGAACCGGCGTGGGCGGCCACGCGGTCTTCGAGAAAGGCGCACAGACTCGGGAGAACTAGATTGAGCGCCATTGTGCCGCCTGGGATTCAATGGTCTTTACTGCGCACGCCGGGGTAGGTGAAACGCGGTCTCTGCGGTCCGACGCGGAAGTTTGCGTTCGCCTAACGAACACGATTTGCAAGCAATAATATCGATTTCACGGTGCCGTAACGCGGTATTCCCGTCGAATGTAAAAGCCCACGGCAGCGAAGAGAGCAACATTAGCGCGCCCATTACGTTATCTTCGCCTCCCGATGCTCAGCCGGCGCTCTTCACCGTGGAAGATAAATCTTCGTCGTTCTTTCACGCGCAGGCGCATTTTTGCGAATTTCGCGTTCGACGCGCATAAAACCGCGGTTATTAAACTATTACGGGCTAATACGTGTGGAGAACGAAAGCTAGACTGACGCGAGTCGGTAGGCGCGCTGAAGAAACAACAAATCGCACGGTTTTTCTGCCAGGAGCGCGCAGTCGACGAAGTCTCTGGACGATTTCACGGTGGAGCGAGACTTGAACGTTTCCGTTGCGTTACCAAACAGATTGCCGCTCCAAAATCTGCGCACTTCATCCCGTCCCGTTCGGTCTCGTTATTCGAGACGTACGTGAGCGTGCGTAACGCGATCATCCGCGCGTTAGAAAGGCGAGATTTCAAGCGGAATATTTGTTTAACCGCGCGGCCTCGTCCGCGAGCGAAACTAGCCCGATATCGCACGCCGCAATTAAAACGTCGTTCGCCTACGTGATTCTCGGCCCGACTCATAATTGCCCGGCCGGCAATAATCCGTGCCTCGCGTCCACGATAAAACGCGATACGAGGCAACGGAATAATTACCGAGAGAATAGCGCAGGACGAAGAATGCGGGCGGAGAGAAAAGACGGAGGGTCGGAAATAAAAACCGGGATTACAAATTGGAGAAGCGACAAACGCGTTTCCTTCCATCGCCCCGCACGGCGACTCGGCCCGAGTTCGGGACGCGGAAGCCACGACGGCCACGTTTCGGACGCGGGTATCAGAGACGACTGATAAGAGCGTCAAGTTTTCATGGCCTCAACGATTTATACGCGATGGCGTGATTGCTCGACAGGCATGGCCGTCCAACAAGGAAGATTGCCGATAAGCCGCGCGCGCGGAAAGCAATATTCCGGAACGGAATATGGTGCCAGCGTAGCGCAAGGCGCGACATAACGCGCGATCCCGGCCGCAGCGTTCGACTATTAATTATCCAGCGGCCAGCAATCGGCACGGCGCGATTGCGTCACTACCCGAAATTAACCAGTGCGAATTGATATGATAATTAGATGGAAAATATAAGAAAATAGACGCGAAGATACCATCTTTATATTGTTATTGCGACAAATATTACCACATGCCTCGGTGGTCGAATTGGTGAGACGCCCGCCTAGAGAGTAGGGAAGTCCAGGTAACATTTTTCGCAGTGAATTTTCTGTATTATTAAAAATGCCAGATATGGCCAATAAAAACACTGAAGCTGGAAAAATCGAATATTCGAAATAATCTGCAGAAATACTAGTGCTCCGAAGTAACAAATTAAATCGCGCGGTCCTTTGCGAGGAGCGCAGTCGATGAAGTCTCTGGACAATTTCGCGGTGGGATGAGAATTGAACGTTCAAAGTATTCGAATTCGACGAATACCTTTGGCGAACGTCTACGATAAACCTTTGTTCAACGGGAAAGATGAAGCGATAAGCCGGCGAGACTTTTTCCCCCCCCGAGTCTTCTTACTTTAAATGTTTAACAATGAGGAAATTTAAAGCGACTTTGGGACAAGTCGCGCGAAACACGCTCCGCAAATCACCGCTCTTGAGAATAATCCTGGCACACTTCCCAATCCTCTCTCAAGGTCCTTCCGAACAATTGGAGCTCGTAACAATTTCTCTGCGACCACCAGCGGTTTATGGTACTCCACCCGTACTTACGCGCACTCCGAGGCACAAAAGCGAAGTTTCGAGTCTGCGCTATACCTCGATTATGTTCGCCTTGTCTCGAGAAACCGGAAGACAGTCGCTTCCGACGTTCCCCACGGTACTCGCCGAGAACTTTCTCGTGAAAGCAATCCCGATCACGTCACCACCGGTTCGCAACTTATATCACTCGAAAGACGCGCGGCGTCCGGACCTTCCTCCTCCGATTTATCCGACGCTGGTCCGAGCAGCCTCTAGCACCGGCACCGGCCACGCACTCAGAATGACGAACGCGCGTCCACCTTGGCAACGGGGTCGACGAAAGCCGACGAAGGACAGAAGGAGAAAGAAAGAGCCGCCAGTGCTTGAAGCGCGAACGAGACGGTCGGCGACCAAAGCGAGAGTGGGAGCAGCGTGGAAAGAGAGAGAGAGAGAGAGACGAGAGGGGGGAGGGAGAGAGAGAGAGAGAGAGAAATAAGAGGAATACAGGGAGAGACCGAAGGAAAAAAGGCGAATGTTCTTGTTCAACGACCGTGTCGTCTGGTGCGCACATCTCCCCCGCTCACACTCAGGTTTATCGCGACCCTGCACCAGCGGATGGGCTCGGGCCGACCGTCGTCCAGGTCGTACCTGATCGATGATCATCCTCGAGAACGGTCCTCGGGACGTGAACGAACAACCGCGCTGCGTGGTGCCACAGAGATGTCTGAGGTGCCGTAGCCTCGCTTCTCCCGCGGAGAGCGTGCGTCTCGTAACGGGTTCAGGAAACTCGATGCTCTCCAAAGCGTGGCACGCAGCGTGTGGCTTCCCCGGCCGGCAACGATTGGTCGTTTCCACCGGGGCACGTGGAGCCGGTTGGCCAGGTAAGAGAGCTCGGGCTCTCCGCTGCTCGGCGAGCAGAACCGTGCCGCGAAGCGAGGAATGTTCCAGGGGGAAGCGGCCGAGGAGGATCGTGGACGCCGTTAAGAGGTTGTATCGCGCGGACGTATACGATCGACTTTGGCGCGACCTCGATCCTGGGCCAGCCCTTAACCAGCGACATCCGTCTCTCGAGGCGAGCGGGCCTTGTGGCTCAGCCTCGCCTCCGATTAATTTTTTATCGATATCTTAAATAACATAATTTCACGATCTAATTTCCCAGGCACGATTCGGCGTCGGCGAGCAAAGTAATTGTTTACGCGCGGATATACGATCGCTGATTGTCCCGTTTCGCATTCTTTCTGCCGTTTACCGTGCCAGCGGTCAAATTAATCACGAAAAACGGCCATTATCTTAAATCCACACCGTATTTACAGGTAATGGAGGTAGAAAACCGCGATGGAAGTAAATCGCTCGCGGATATAATTATCAAGCGGATTGCCCAGAGTACGTTTAAGCGACTGTTGCCAATTACGGATTAAACGGCGTCTCGAGCTTTTGGAGAATCGAGCGTCCTCGGCCGAGTCGTCGCGCTACGAGCGCGGGTTAATATGGAATTCATATGGCGATAAGCCGGCTTCCGTTGTGACCGCAGGTCTTGCATTTGCATGAGATTTGTGAGCGTGCGCGATCGTCACGCGCTGCTGATCGGCTAGAAGGGTGCACCTTCGAGGGTATCGAGGAGATAAAGGTAGATAATGCACGCTCGCGTTTTCGCGAGTAATGAGTTGTTGCGAAAGGCACGTCGAGCAACGTCGAGAGGCCCGCCGGTCGCGCGGAAGTGCTGCGCGCGCGAAAACAGATGGACGATCGTGCGAGAGTGGAGAATCAATTATCAACTCTCACTCGGACTTTGTTCCCGATTGCTCGAGATACGAGGGTTGGAAAGTTCGAGTCGAATAAATCGACGGCGTTCGGCTGCTCCTTTGGCGACTCGCGCCGCTATAAATAGCAAGAGGGACATAAATTTGCTAAACTTAGCCCGTCGATAACCGCGGATTACCCGAGTACCCGCGGGGGCACTCGCGAGAATCCCTTACCTGGAGGCTGGAGGCTGTTGAGAAAAAACAAGGATAAACGAGATTAATCGCCCCCAACGTGTAAAAGCATGCGTAGGAGTTAGAGCGATGGCGCAATTAGTCTTGCAGAAATTGCTAGGAGGATCGGATCCACAATGCGCTCGCAGGAATTATCCGACGCAAGCAACAACCTGAACGCTGTTAAGTTATGGCGCGTGTATTTCTCTTGCGCAACGGAATATGAGTGAGCCCGGGACGGCGTTTCTCCGCGCCGAACGAACGTTCGCGGCTTTACGTCACAAGCGCGAAGCAACCCCTATCGATATCGCGGCGCATAAATTATATAATCTGAATTGTGTGTAAAGTCGGAACGTTACGACGCACGGAACTGTACCGCGGGACTCGATCGGCAATTGCCGGCGATAAGCAACACCACACAGGAAACGATTAATTTTCGAGAGGTGCAACGACGCTGTCACTCGCGACGTTTGCGAAAGGAAGAAAAGAAACGGGGCAAATCAGGCATTTAATTATCTCGATGAGTTCGCAGGAACAAATTACATTATCCTACCTGCACGAACGAATGCGGCGACTCGAAGGAAAGTGCTCGCGCTCTCATTCGAGGCTGTGAATGTTCTCAAGGCTTTATATTCGTGAGAAATATATACACGACGTACGCGTCGTCGTCACAAAATTTACCGGCAGTGACACGGTCGTTAATTAATTTTACCGTGAAAATAGTCGCGAGTGCGAGGTCTCGATTTATGCAGACGCGAGCGTGACTCCACGCCGGTTCTCGAGCCTTTCCCTCGGGCCGTCTTCTCTCTCTTTCGTCGTCCAACGTCGAGTTAATTCACGAAAAAAGCACACTTACGTCGCAGGCGTTAGAAACATCGCTCGTCTCCGTCTCGTCCGGCGTGGCCAGGGGCGCGCGGGGGGACGAGGGTGCGAGGCAATCGTCTTGCTTTCCCTCATTATCGCCCGTCATCGCGTCGTTAACGTCACCGCCGCATTCCGCCGGCTTCGTGGCCTCCTCGACCGTGGTCCACGAGTCGAGATTCCCGATCTGCTCGGCGACGAGCCGCCTCGTCTCCGAGAAGATCGTCACGCTCGTGTCCGACACCACGACCTCGGTCTTCTCGATGAAAGTCGAGTCCGACGCCGAGAACTCGCTCGAGGACTCGTCCACCGGATTCTGCGCGTCCTCCGCGACGAGACACTCCGGCGACTCGTTCTCGGGGATCGACCCCGGCGTCGCCCGCGAGTCGCCGATCTCCGACGACACCACGATCCGCGGTGTCTCCTGCTCGGCTTCCTCGCCCAGCACGCGGCGTTCCGTGTCGAGAAATTCCTGCGTGCTGGACAGATCGGACTGGCTGACGACGCCGTCGTCGGAGAGACGAGAATCCTCCAGCTTCGAGTCGGCGTCTTCGAGGGTTTCGGAGGGCGATTTGTCCCGGCGGTTCAGCGACGCCGGGATCTCCTCAACGCGATTGTCCCCATAGGAATCGTTAAGCGTATCGATATGTTCGTTTGTGGAAGACTCTTCATTCGTCGACGGGGATTTCCATTCCTCGAGGCTTCGATCCTGCGGACAGAGCGAAGTCTCGTCGAAGTTGTCGGAGAACTGACCGGCCTGCTGGCCGTCCGAAAGTGGCGCCTGCTCGGTCCACGTGTCCGGAGTATCGACGTCCGCGCTCTTCCTTTCCTCTTCGACGTCGTTGCGAAGCGGATCCGTGTCGTCCGACATCCGCACGAGCTCCTCTTCCCGTTGGTATTTATCTGCGGGACGACTCGCGGGAATCGGGAAAGACCGGGAGCACGATCCGTCGACGAGGTCGCTCGTGACATTGCCAGAGTCCGGATCATCCGTGGGCGACACGGCTTCCTCGACGATCGCCCGACGCTCTTCGCTATCGTTGTTGGCATGGACAGCTACGTCGCGGCTCGACTCCTGATCGCCTTCGTTCGTTTTCTGAATAATTACCGGCGCGACGTCGGCTTTCGGTTGCTCGACGAACGCCCGATCCTCTTCCTCGTCGTGGAAGCGCACCGGTTCCGGTTTCGCGGCCTCGACGTTGACGTGCGGGGACACGTGACCGTTCCGGTGACCGTACGGCTCCTCGGTCACAGAGTGGTGCTCGCTCTCGGCCGCTATGAACTCTGCGTTAATGTCGACGGGATCCTGCCGGCGGTCCAGGACGATCCTCTTGATCGTCTCCGGTTGGGCGACGACGTTCTCGGTCTCTTCGACGGCCTCGTCGTCGTTGCTGCTCGAGCAGATCCTCAGCGCCAGCTCGCTCTCTATTAACTCCTGCAGGCTCTTGTCGTCGTTCTCGCGCTCGTTACGCGTATTGTTTGTGAGCACAAGATCGTCGTCGTCGCACAACGAGATTAGTTGGGTGTTACTCGCGGTTAGATCATCCAAATCAATCAAACCGTTGTTAGACTGAACACCGCACACCTCGCTCTTCTTGCTACTTACTACATTGATCGATTTCTTCGTCGCCACCTCCGCCATCGTGGTCCCTCGCGCGATCGCACCGCGGACACCTGGAAGGAGTTTCGGTCGTTTTAGATCGTCAGGGAGTGAATCAGGATCATTAGAGGCCCGTGTCTACGATGCTGGAACTTGGTCCAAGTTCTAGTACCGAGAAATGTGTGGCCAATCAACTTGCACACTGAGAGACCAAGTTCTAGTATCGCGGACACAGGCCTTTAGAAATGTGTAATTAAAAATGCGCATTTTACTGTACACTTAAGCGGCACTGAGGGAGCAAATCGGAGAGCCGTTATTGCGATAATTCTGTATGTAATTTCTTTTATACTTCGACGCCTAACACTTCTAATCCTTACTACTTTTGTAAGAAAGAAACTGGAATAATAAGAAAATAAGCTCTTCTTCTCTCAACCTCTTTTCCCTTTCTCGCACGCGCAAAAAGAGCGTATGAATTTATAGGTGACTGCGAATTAATACAAAGATGAAACTGGGCAACGGGAACGCGAAATGTAGGATCGATAAATAACACTTATGAGCCAACCGGTTTTCCTATGTAATTTCGAGCTAGAAAGTGCGAGACGAAATAAAAATTCTTCAGGCCTCGCTACTGCGGAGCGAAAAAATATAAGAGGCTGCGTGTCAAATTAACGTTTTAAGCGACGTAATAAAATAAATTAACGTTTTAATCGACGTAATAAAAACGATATTTATTTCGATGAAACGGCATTTTCCTCGTGTTAAAGCACAAAAATACGATCGTATTCTCGTCAAATATAAATTACACGTATCGATATCAAGGTCAACCTCATAAAGGCCGAACTTTTATCAGGCGTTCTCAAAGGTTGAAACTTTTATGTTTAAATACTTTACAGTTCCTGTATGGACTTTGCCACACTTGCGATTTTTCTAATCACTCGTAATCGCTGGCCACGGCGATTTATATCTCCATATCATCCGTTTTCTATTCGACATATAATATGAGCACATGAACGCGAATCTCCTCGACCCGCGCACTTGACTTTCTCCGTATCGGCGTGCAAGGAAAGCTCTTCAGGTACGCGCGTACGGCAAACCATCTGCCACTCGATCAAGTAGCGCCGGTTTATTGGTTATGCAAAATAAAGCCCGCGCGAGTGATCGTGCAAGATCACGGTCGGGCGGACATACAACGTGCCTGTTGGGCAACTTCTGGGCCGGTCCAGTAATGCTCGACGAAGTTTGTTACCGCGATATTTTCAGGCAATTAATTCTTCGGGCGATGATACATGTCGTTGCGCGGGGACATATCGTGTGACGAAAAAGCAGTAACCGCGGCATGACCGCCCGCGCATATTTCATCGCACTCGTCCACGTTAATTGAATTCGCGAATTGAAAAGCCGAACGATAAATTGAGCAAGTGAATCGCACAAATGTAAATACGTTACAGTTTATCGTAGACATCAAGTTCTTTGAACAAATAGAGTTAATAATCAAGCTTTTTGGCCGGCACTAACCGGCCAGTGTTTTAATACAGAAAATTTATTGCGAAAAATATTACCTCAGCCAGGGTTTGAACCTGGACTTCCCTTACTTCCCCTTTTTATATTTGTCCCACAAGAACGTCCTGGCGAAAATAATATGTTTATTAAAAGTTTATAGGAAGTTTGTTGAAATGTTGAGTCAATGTTTTATTTCAGCTTAGAAACATTTACTGAATTGTTTGTGAGATATAAATTTAAACATGAAGTTGTTTATGACATGTTCACGGTTACACGTGTTCAAATTGCGTTTAATGATACAATGTCAAACGTTGCCATTATAGTTTTCTTAACGTTTGCAAAATGTTATTGTCAGTGAAGAGTTAACCAGGTGTTTGTAACGTACTTCCAAACGGTGTAACCATCGATAAAACTCTTTATAAATAATGTAACTAGCGAGAAAATTCTTCATAAATAAACATCATCTCGCGCTTAAAATTTTCGCCAGGGTATTTGTGAAGCAGACATTTTGACGACGGATAACACGTTTCTTTTTGATAATAGCGTGATATTTCGGAGCGTCGTATTTTCGGAGCTCCGTTGCCACATTTAGTACGCATCTCTCGCGCGCGCTGCGCTCTCTCTCTCTCTCTCTCTCTCTCTCTCTCTCTCTCTCTCTCTCTCGCTCTCTCTCTCTCGAGTCGCCGCTTACGAAATCGCGGAAACCGTCGCAGTGGAATGCGTGTCGCCTTAATATTCTCATACGCGGATGTGCGGGCCACCAAGACGCACCAGGAGCACCAAGTCCGTCGCGATATTAACGGAAGTTACGCCTCTATAGAACTCGGTCGTGACTGCGGACCGGTGTTGTTGGCCGGCAAGCCAACCCTCCTATTATTAGCCATTCCGCGACGTCGCGTTTAAGCTTCTGCGACGGCATGCACTTTCAAAATATGAAATCCAAAACTGTGGAAGAATACTCTGACCCGGGCGAAAAGTCGTTATTTATAACCGCTTTTGTACCCAGCGTTAAATATCTCGAGCAACAAACCCCAAGCCGAGGCCTCATCGGGGACCAAGTGGGGTACCAACATAGTTACGCTATTTATTCGAAAGTTCTCGCTCTCCGGTTCATAATTAAAAGATCGCCCGTGCTAATTCGGGTTGCACATCGGGCGGAATTAAATATAGAAAGCTATCCCAGGGGTATAGCGCCTCGCGCCTCATTTACGCCGTTTTATTTTAATGAACGCACATCTTTCTCCTCCGCCGTACTCCGGGCGCGGCGTAACTCCCTCCGGTAATTTGACAAATTCCAGCGCTGCGTACACACATCGCCGGCCCGTAAGAGTTTATAAACAGAGGGGCACACGGTGGCCGCGGTCCGATCACGTCGTAAACCGGCGCGACGCGGAGGGTTCAAAATTAGAAAGCGGCGAGCGATCTCGCGCATCTTCGCCCGCTCCTCCGTCTCTCTCTCTCTCTCTCTCTCTCTCTCTCTCTCTCCGTTTTCGAGGCGGCGCGAAACTCGAAATCGCGAGCAAAATTTTTGTAGGCCGCGCCGGGTCGCGTTCGCAGTAATCGCCTTCGAGGCCCTTCGCGCTGTTTAATTTAATCTCCCTCCCCGTCCATTCTCTCTTCGCGTCATTCTCCCGCGATTCCATCCCGCCTTTTCTCCTCCTCTCAACGTTCTCGTCTAACCCGCTCTCTTTCTCTCTCTCTCTCTCTCTCTCTCTTGCTCGTTTCTCTTTACCCGACGTTTCACCGAGGTCGTTCCTCGGGTTCACGACCGAGACTATGGAGGTACCCTTTCCGTCTCACTCCATCTCGTTCCGCGCCTCGCTCTCTTCTTCTGCCTCTTCGTGCACTCTCCTTCTGCCTCCATGCCTCTCCTCTCGTCCTGCCACCTCTCGTTCTCCCGCGTCTTAGCTTCCCTCTCATTTCAACCTCTCTCTATTTTTAGAATGACACACTACCGCGATTCAAAGACGCGCGCTGGACGCATCGTGCTCGTCCACGGAAAATGTTCTGCCCAAATGCGGCGAGCGAACGAGAGTGAACGTCACGGGAGCGAAGGAGAGGAGCAAGAGAGAGAGAGAGAGAGAGAGAGGGGGGGGGACGGGCAACGAGCCGGGAGAATTTTTTTCTCTCTTAGGTTAAGCGACAGGTGCACACAATATGCACCCTGCCGTGCTGTAAGGTCGAGTCGTAACCCTCGTTGAAGTTGCAGAAAAGTGAAACTCGAGAGGTCGCCAGAGCGAATCGCGAGGTGAAAATAAGCGGGGTTTAAAGGATAGAGAAAAGTGCGGACAAAAAATAACTCGCGAGATCAACGGTCCGATTATTAGACTCTCGGACTTGATTATGAAATTATCTCAAGATAACTGATCGAGCGTTAAAGGTGAAGAGATTGTCGCGTTTAAAGCCTCGTTGAAGGAGATCGCATTGTTCGAGAGTCTCTGGTCTATTTTAATTGTAACTTGGAGCCCTCCGTGCAGGTAAAAGTCGTAAGAGCTTTGTGTAACGTCACGCTAATGAAAGATAATTGATCACGCGATCGAATTATGTTGGGCATATACCTCTTATAAAAGTCCAGGACCCACGACGTGCGTCTCGCGATGAGATTGAGACGTGCACGGCCGCAACAACAACGCGAATTACCGTAATAAATAGAGCCTTGTTTACGCAATTAAGTTCCATCAGGAAAAATGCCTCGGCGTCGTTAAGGCCGTGGTCCAAATCTCGCATCGGCTCGCGCCCGAGAAGATCGACACGAGTCGATGAGTGCACGCGAGGATGCATTGCGTATACCGTTGTCCCTTTTCGCGGCCGTTCAAAACGTTGCAACCGCATTGTGTAGAAGCGCGCTCGACTAAGTACACCACTGATTCTACGGTGGCGGAACGCGATGTTCGCGTTAGAACATCTGCACAGAGAAATGGTCAGATCAAGTCTTTATACTCAAACTCAGATTTAAGGCTACATCCAGTAGGAAAAATAGTATCGTGTACCGTTGGCTTTACATTCCAACGACATCAGTTTTAACTTCAGAATACATATAATTATTTTGACGATAAAATCACTTTAATCATTATTATAATTTTTGATTGGTAAATATATTTTCTATCCAATGTTGTTTCCTTTCCATTCATGAAAATTGTTCTGAAATAATGAGCGTGTATTTATCTTGATCGAATTATATAAAATTGCTTCATTCAAGTAAGTTTTTCTTTCTTCCACGCAATATAATCTCACTTCAAGATTTTCACGTTGAGACTAGACATATTTTCAGAGGAAGAATATTCTTTCTCTTCTGTGCACCTGCGATCCCGCGCCCGCTACAGAATTAAATTCTCAAACGGTACCGTGAGCCCGCACTTAAATACCGAACGCGGCCAATGAGATAATAAGCGGGATTACTTTCGGTGAAGTTGACCGAAGTGCTGTTGAAAACGTTTTCAGTCAATGCGCCCGCGGGGAGAAACACGCTAATTAGTCTCGAGACCTTTAATTTCGTTAG